TAGTAATAGTAATAGTAGTAAAGTTGGAAGGGACCTTCGAGGTCATCTAGTCCAACCCCCTGCTCGGGCAGGAAACCCTACACCATTTCGGACAAATGGTTGTCCAGTCTCTTCTTAAAAACTTCCAGTGTTGGAGCATTTACCGCTTCTGGAGGCAGGCTGTTCCACTGATTAATTGTTCTCACTGTCAGGAAGTTTCTCCTTAGTTCTAGGTTGCTTCTCTCCTTGATTAGTTTCCACCCGTTGCTTCCTGTCCTGCCTTCAGGCACTTTGGAAAATAGCTTAGGGGTTCAAATAGGGTTCAAGTCTGAGGTGGCTTGGGCTAGTCAGAATCTATCAGAGCCATCAGTGGTGGTTTTAGGAAGACCTGAGGAAAACATGCCATGCAGCAAATTCTTGTTTAGTGACCATAATGGGGATCAGCCACCTGGTCATTAAGTAAAGCAGCCAGGAAGTGAAACCGACTGAAATTATGATCTGATCTCAGCTTTCCTTTGCTTTAGAGACCCGCAAAGGTCATAAATGCAAACACCAGTCACAAATTACTTTTTCATCTTCAGTGCAGTTGTGCGCTGTTGCTGAATGAGGAAGTCCCTAAATGAGGACCTCCTCTCTGCACTATCTGGAGCTCTGAAAGGAAAGTCTAAATCTAACTCTACATGGTAGCCATACGGAAATATTTGAGCTGTTACTGCTTCTCGAGAGCTAGGAATTAACTTTGGTACATCTATTGCAAAATATTTAAAGATATTGCAGTAAATCCTCAAATCTGTCTTGGGTCCCGCCCTCGTCATTATTTTACTAGGATTCCACAAATTGGATCCAAGTTGATTCCACTGCTTGGAACCATTCAGAAAAAAAAATCTTCAGCCAAGTTCAGTCTCCAGCTGCAAGTCTTTGGACTTAGATTTATTTGGCCCAATAAAATGCATATGCATGAAAGTACCCAAACTGATATAAATCAATTCAGAGACTTAAAGCAGGCCTCCACTGCTCCTCCTGTAGATTGTACCACCTTATTCACTTGCAATCGGAGATTCCAGTATCTCTGTGTCTGCCGCTAGAGATTAAGAGCTTTTTTTTTCATTTCTTTTCTCATAATTTGGTTGAAAAATTCAATCACAGTTAAGCATATTAAAATTCCATTGATTTCACTGGGGCAATTAAGTTGGGTTTTAATAAGAATGGGTGTTCCAAGTACTCCTTAATAAAATACACTCAAATACAATCTTGCATCCAGTTAGCTGAAAATAATCTCCATTAAACTGAGCAAATCTATTTTGAAAAAAGCATCTGCAGGGTGATGTCATAAAAAATGATGTTTTTGTCTCTCAGCAATCCAGGGCGAGGGATAAAAACAATCCCAGTTACATAATCTAGCAAACTTGATATTCCATAGATCCTAACCCCACCATCACATTCCACTTCTAACACATTTCTGTTGCATTTCCTACTCACTGACACATACTTTTTGGGGGAACAATTGCACCTCACTTCTTTATGGGCTGTATTCATACAATCTTTGTCAAGTTGATTGTGGAATTCCCCTGTTTTTTATGTATCCATGATCCCACCATAGACTAGCCAAAATGACTGAGGTTAAAATTAGACAAGCTTAGCAGGCCTAGCCAGGTTTTAAGTGGCCTGGTTAAATTTAAATTTAAAGTGAGAACAATTAATCAGTGGAATGTTTTCCCTGTGGAAGCTGTGAGTGCTCCATCACTGAAGAGACTGGACGGCCATTTGTTCAGAATGGCATAGCGTCTCCTGCTTGAGCAAGGGGTTGGACTAGAAGACCTCCAAGGTCCTATCCAACCTCATGAGTCTATGACCTATGTACTAAATCTATTGGGTGAATCTGTTCATTCCTTGCGAAACTTCAGCAGAGGTATAGCTAGTTAACTCTCTCATACAAACATACCCACACATAATAGAGTTTGATCTCTCATTCTATCTATCTATCTATCTATCTATCTATCTATCTATCTATCTATCTATCTATCTATCTATCTACTTACCTACCTACCTACCCACCCATCTCTATCTATGTCATCTCACTTTATCACATTTAAACTTACACAAGATAATAGTTTGATTTGTGTATTCTCTCTCTCTCTCTTTTTCTCTCACACATAAACATACACATACATACCCACATAATAGACAGGGTTTGATCTCTCTCTCTCTCTCTCTCTCTCTCTCTCTCTCTCTGTATCTATCTATCTATCTATCTATCTATCTATCTATCTATCTATCTATCTATCTATCTACCTATCTATTATCTATCTATCTATCTATCTATCTATCTATCTATCTATCTATCTATCTATCTATCTATTATCTATCTAGTTATCTATCTATCTATCTATCTATCTATCTATCTATCTATCTATCTATCTATCTATCTATAGCTATCTAGCTATCTAGCTATTATCTATTTAGCTATCTATCTATCTATCGATTTATCTATCTACCTATCTATCTACCTATCTATCTATCTATCTATCTCTCTATCTCTCTATGTCTATCTCTCTCTCACATACACACATGCACACAATAGACAGGGTTTGATTTCTGTGTTTTACAGTAGACAAATTTTCTACATAAATATTTCTTTCTTGCCTGCAAGGAGCAGCTTATCTGGTTGTATCAAGTTTGTCAATCTTCTGCTGATATTGAATGCACGGCTGAGTTTCTCTTGCAAAAGAGATTTATTTCTCGTCTGCAAAGTCTGATAGTGTGTGATATCAATTGTTCCCGGAATGAGATGGCATTTTAGATTGCCTATTTCTTTGCTTTACTGTAATGAACTTTGTTTTAATTTGTTGCATCCATATACTGAAGCACTGTTGGTTCCATTGCGGCTTTATTTATGACTGCATGTAAAACAATAGTAAAAACAATATCACTGATGACAATGTGACTTTTTAATAGAAAATTTGAAATGTGAAATGCATCCATAATGTGATATCTTTAAGAAAAAGCATAATCCAAATGAGCACAGATAGCACTAGGCAACGTGTTGGGTGCCAAATGTTTGCCAAAGGAAGTGGTTCTTTATATAACTCAGAATAATATTCCGGCAATGTGCTAAATTCATCATATGAAAAATCTCCAAGCGTTGAAAATGCCAAAGTGCTTCTGGATACAGCCAAAGAAACTTAGAGCGGGACAGACTGCAGCTCATTGGGGACAGTTCCCTGATTCAAAGCAACTTTGAATCAACCGTGCTTCAAAAAAGATTGAAAATCAATCTTTCATCTTTCCAGTCAGCACTTCCTCCAGCTGCTAATTTGACATTTGAAATGCCATATCTTAACAAAAATAGAGCAAATCCTGCTGATTTCACTTAAGTTCGAGAAAGAAAGAAAGAAAGAAAGAAAGAAAGAAAGAAAGAAAGAAAGAAAGAAAGAAAGAAAGAAGGAAGGAAGGGAGAAATAAATTTGCATTTTTTCATTTTGTAAGTTTAACATTGACCACTGTGCAAAATCCTTAGCTCCCTTTCTCCTCAAAGTTGGCAGTTCACTCTGAAAAGATCCAAACAGTTAATCGTTTTTCCTTAAATCACACACATACATAGACACACATACATACACATATATGAAAAAAGTGAGTTGTTTTCCCTTGCCTAGTTAAGGCAGAAATCTAGAAAGAAGGGGATTTCTTGAAGTGAGATTACATCAAAGTTGGTGGCCCCTGAATGGGGGCTCAATTTTGCAAAATGGGGTCCAAACTAAACCATCACACATCCTATCACAGCAGGAGGAGCTTTTTAAGTTTCCAAGATGCTGCTGCTAGATCGCTTTTTAAACAACCCCATATGTACATGCATAGATATAAACATTTCCATCTCATTATATCCAGTGGTGGGATTCAAACAGGTGAACAACCGGTTCTCTGTATGGATACTGTTTCCAGAAGTCCATTCTGGGCCTGGCAATAAAAAAATAGCTATCGGTTCTGCCGAACTGGTGCCAAGTGACTGAATCCCACCACAGGAAGGAAGGAAGGAAGGAAGGAAGGAAGGAAGGAAGGAAGGAAGGAAGGAAGGAAGGGATTCAAATATGTGAACAACCGGTTCTCTGTGTGGATGCTGCTTTCGGAAGTCCATTCTGGGCCTGGCCAATAAAAAATTAGCTACCGGTTCTACCGAAGTGGTACGAACCAGCTGAATCCCACCACTGAGTATATCCTAGATCATGTCAACCTTTCCACTATATTTTTTTCCCTGTTCCAATAAACAACTTTACCACATTTGGAGCCTTATGAGAATTGCTCCCAGGCGGGGTGGGGGGGTGTGGAGCAGGGCAGGATAGGGGGGAGTGGAGAGGTGTAAAAAAAATCAAAATGACAGCCATAATCATGTGATCAAAGCCCCACACTCTTTTAACATGTGTTGCATGCAAAAAAGGGGGACAGAACTTGATGTGCGTGGCTATTGTGACATTTTTACTCCGCCCGCCCAACGTAGACGGTAAAAGGAATGTCTTTGAGGCACACAAGAAAGAGCTATTACCAAGACTATGGTCAGATGAAGAAAGTTTGAGTCTGGGCCAAAACTGTAACCTGAGAAAGCTTGTCAGGCCTGACCCTCCCAAGTTCTCATAAAGTTGGAAAACACATCCAGACTTGCAAGATTCTGTTACTATAATCTCATAAGAAAGGATACATCACACTGGATTCCTACTTGGTATTAGATTCTTAATCTGATCTACTCATCTAGAATTGTCTGGAAGTTGAGTCAGGGCAATTAGACTTATTTGTCCAGTTAATTGACTCTGCCATTCTGCCTTAAGGAAATTCCCTGGATTGGTGCCTTGAACATCTGTTAAAGGCTGCTAATCAACGCTGCTTACCTGGGTGGGAAAGATCTGGGATAATTACATGCAAAAAAAGGGGGGGGGGGAATTATTGTTCTATTCGTGACTTATCCTGATTCACCTGTTCTGGCACATCAATCTTCTCGATGCACTGAGATAATCGAATCTCTGCTTCCCTAGATGCAAGATCACAGATCGTGACGCACAATGTGGAGTGCCCTGTTTTCCGCTTTGTACCTGCTGGGTGTTTTCTCGGAGAACTGCAGAGGACGGAAGCTGCCAGCGTTTCAAGACGGTAAGGGAGCTACAGTGCCAATGGGGAGGTATCACGGATCTAGAGAGCCGATGTCTTAACAGGCTAAAGATTGATTGCTCCGAGGGTGCTGCCTAGAGCAGATCAATGCAAGTGTTAATGAGTGGATTCAATGCCGGGGCAGTTCAGATCCCTGATAAAGGTGGCTTTCTTGGCACTTGGTGGGTATTCTTAAATGCAGCTTAAATTCAGATGGGTGTCTCTCTTCTACAGCTGCAGGCCATTGTACCAGTTTATACACGAACATGCACACGTACACTGCCAGGCAGACACAAAATTGAAGCCAGCAGCTTCCTTGGAAAAATGTTTGGCATCAAATGAATGAAAGCCGAGCACTGCTCTTTATTAAGGTGCCAGCTGCAGAAATGGAATGGTGGGCAGTTGAAAAATTCACCCAAGCTCCCTGTATTTTCAAATTCCAAAGTTGACTGGATGTGAATTCAGAAGGGAGAGAACTATAGGCAGTCCTTGAATTATGACCAGCCGTTTAATGACAAACAGCCTTGACAATGATGCTTTAAAGCTCATAAAGCACTCCCGGCTGTTGTAAAAAATTTTTCAACTAACAGACACTGGATGCCAGTATAGTATAGAAGGGATGTAGTATTTTGTGTTAACCATCAACCTGTTCCAGAGTTCTCAGAATACCCTAGTTCTTTAACATAAAATACCTTTCTCCTACCTTCTTTCTGTTGGAACTGATTTTATGTCCTGTTAATATCAAATATATTATTTTGGGCTGGGTCATAGTATGGAAATTAGATATACAGAAGTAAAATAAAAAATAATACCTTAGTATATTAAAATGTCTTCATTTTTAAAAAAAGGTAAAGATCGTTTTTATTTTATTTTCCCAAACTATATTAAAAGAATTTTTAATTATTTTTGAAACTGTAACAGCTAAATGTTGCAAAATAATCAGTATCATTATAGAAGAAAATATGCTTTATATACTTTGTTGTTAATTCCTGTTGCATTATAAAATAAGTATGTGTTGCCAAATAATTAACATCAAATAATTAACATGTGACCCTGTGGTCACATGACTGTGTTTTGGGTGCTTGACAGCCAGCTCACATTTATTATTGGGGTTTTTTTTTCTGCTGGTTCCCTATGTTTTTTGCCAGTTTCTGAAAAAAAAAAAAATACCCATTCAGGTGAATGGATTCAGACATACAACTGCATGATTCCCTTCATGACTGCTGTAAAAATGGTCATAAAATCTGGTCCAGTCATGCAAGTGCCTTACTTATGACCATCATGGGTTACATCTGCAGTTGGGGTCCCAATTGTGGTCGTAAGTCGAGGACTACCTGTATGGGCCATGTTTCCTCTTGGCAACTCTGGGTCCAAATTCTGGGACCTTCTGCCTTCTCTCATTAGCACTGGCCCTCTTTCTCCTCTTCCTTTGTTACAACAGCAGCATCTTTGCTGCGTCTGTTTTTTGGGTTTGTGGCCCTGGGCCCCAGTCCTTCTGGCATTAGAGAAAGATATCTATGAAGGATTTTAGAGTTGATCTTGGGAAAGGATGAGTTAGACGGGTTTTCAAGATCCTGTTTGGATATCCTAAAACAATACAGTAACATTCATGGGATCCTTGCAGTGTCTATTTCTTAACTTCTTCTACTTTGAGAGGCTAATATATTGCTTGTTGGCACGATCAAGAATTTTATTGCGATGATGTGCTTTTAATTAGGATCAGCAATAGACTCCTTTTAGTCAATACTATGAAATGGAGAGATCACTTAGCAGTGACTTATTTAATTGTCCTGGGGTAGTAGAACACAATCCAGAGTTGCAGGAGGGAGGGTGTGAGAGAAGAGTAGGCAGAGCTAGGAGGTGGGGTTAAGTGTATCATCAGTTTAGAGTCCTTGCATTGCCACAGGAGACTCAACTTCTCCTGAACTCCATTGATCTTTATCAGGCACTAATTTAGTGTTGAACTTTAATTGTCCAGATCCTTGTGCATAGGCTTAAATAAATCGTCTATGCTACAACCTTATGAATGATCCTGATTCTTTGTGCCTGACAGAAGGGCTCCTTCCCAGGGAGCAAAGAGACAAAGAAGATTGGAAACTTGTATATGCAGGAAAAGGGTGAAGGCGAACCCTTGCCCCCCAGCAGTTTGCATGGTCTATGTAGTAGTTATATAGATAAGTACTTTAGTCTGGCAAGATTCTGTCTATAGGCAAGCAGCAATATAAAAAATACTACTTAGAAGTAACTCATGACATTCTTGGTTCCTTGAACCTCACACCTGCCCTTGAATGGTCTTAGGGGGTCCACAAGTTACCATAGCAGAATCCTGATTAAAGAAAAGGAGCATATGGGATCATGTACTTCAAGGACAGTTGCAACAGGATTGATCAATTTTCTGGGTTACAAACCTGAATGGGAAACCACCAGGAATCCAGACATTCTGGATTATGGTAGGGACAAACCTTTCAAATTGTTGCCCAAATTCCCTGCTGTAATTGTCTAGCAATCAAGCTCAGCTTGATGGAGATTCACGTTTTCTTAAAATCAAGGATTAAAAAAAGGTTTTCTTTCCTGCTATCTCTAAAGAATGGGAAATGAGTTTCAGCAGCTCCCAATCCTGCTTTGATTTTTTTTTTTCTGAAGCATGTAGAATTGATGGACTAGGCCTAATTTAGGATAGCGCTCATCGTGGCTTAATGACTGGATGCAATTATATAAAGCTCTTAGCACTCATCCTGTTTTATAGAGTGCAAGCTGGTCATCGGCTATAAAATAAAAATACTGTTAAAAACTACAAACGAGAACAAGAGGTTTTTGCCCCAAGGAAGCAGAGAATCAAAACGTGGACCCAATTGAAATAAGATAAGAAAGAGAAAGGAAGGTGCTGGAGGTCATTAAAGAAATACTTGAACCACGGAGCTCCATGCTTGAATCTACAAAGAACAATCAAAGAGAAAATGCCACTGAGCATTTGAGAAGCATCTTTTCTTTACCACTGATAATCAGTCTTCTCAAATTGATCTCAGAGCCCAGATCTCACTCTCTCTGCTCCTGTGCTCAGCGGATTAAAATGGGAAACCTGCAATGAATCATTCCAGTAAAAAGAGAAATCCAGAGTTCCCATGAAGTTTGGTAGCCGAACATTTGAATTCTGGCTTACGTGCCATACGTCTTCCAAAGAGGGTCAGCTCTCCAAGAGCATTCAGGCAACTTTCAAAGAGAACCTAAGGCAGTGGTTCTCAACCTTTTTAATGCCGCGACCCCCAACCGGTCGTAAATCGAGGCCTACTCAACCGGTCGTAAGTCGAGGACTATTCAACTGGTGCAGCACCATTTGCAGAATGGGACTTTTGGCGGGCTCAGCAGGGCAGAGACAGCCTGGACAATTCCTATTGGCTTTTGAAAGCCAATAGAATAGACTCTATTCAAGAGAGTCTATTCGATTGGCTTTCAAAAGCCAATAGAATAAAAGGGAGTAGCACAGCTAAGGAAAAGGGGGAAAAAAGGGCAGACTGCGTTGTTTGGTGACCCCCGTGAAATGGTCGTTTGACCCCAAATGGGGTCCCGACCCACAGGTTGAGAACCACTGACCTAAGGTAAATTAGCCTGGAATTAAAGAGAAATTTTCGGACAGGGAGAACAATTAATCGGTGCAACAGCTTGCCTTCAAAAGTCGTGGGTGCTCCATCGCTGGAGCATTTAAGAAGAGATTGGATAACCATTTTGCCAAATGGTAAATACCTCCTGCCATGAGCAGGGGGTTGGACTAGAACTGTGGTGGTGAACCTATGGCACGCGTGCCACAGGTGGCACGCAGAGCCCTCTCTGTGGCAACGTGCGCCGTCGCCCCAGTCCTAGGCCTTCAGCTGGGTTTTATAAAACCTTTTCGCTTTAGGCCTCCGCCGCCATGTGCAAAAACCCCCCAAAAGTTCAATCAATCAATCAATTTCAACTTCTCGTGGGGAAAAAAAAAGATCTCGCAAAGTTGGAATTGATTGATTGAACTTTTTAGTCCCACCCAGTCTGCCGTTACCACCGCAGCCACGCCTATCCAATGGGCCACACCCACTTAATGGGCCACGCCCACCCGGCACCTGACGATACGTAAGTGGGTTTTGGGTTGCAGTTTGAGCACTCGGTCTCTAAAAGGTTTGCTCCTCACTGGACTAGAAGATTTTAAAGGTCCCTTCCAATTTTTTAATTTTGCCTTCTGTGCTCTGTTCTGTATTATGTAGAATCCAGAGTTAAAAGGTGATAATTGCTGGGCTTTCTCCATTGTCTCTAGCACTGGAAGGGCAGTTCCCAGCTGCAAAATATAAACCAGATGTGAACACGTGCATCACCCCAAAGCACTCCAGATTGTGTTATGAAGGAGCTGTGGCATAACATCAGTTTTTCAGTGGTGTGATCCCTCCCTCCCCTCCAGGGTTAAAATAAGGGCTACTTTACAATCTTATCAAATCCCAGATTTGCCCTGGAAATGAGCTGAACAGTTTCAACTCCTGCCATTCGGGTGACATCATTGCTGCAACCCTCAGAAGGAAAAAAAAAATAATAAGAAGAACAAAACCCTCCAAACCACAAAATGATTGCCTGCCTCTGATGTAGACCTTGGCCAGCTGCTGAACTAATCCTCTGCCAGTTCTGATTGACAGGAAGAAGGCTCCTTGGAGCTGCTTAGCTCAGCAGTGTTTCTCATTGACAGATAGCGGCCTAAACAGCTCCTGGCAGTTTGCTGCAGGCCACTGTGAGAGACGCTGGCAAGCTGGCGAAGGGGCTGCAAGCCCTCCATCTGGGCTCCGAAGCATGGTGATCTCAGCTGTCAATTCCATCTGATCCTCAACTCCATTCCCCATCAAGGGGATGGTTCTATCAAGCCTGGAGATGGCCTGTTGTTGTTGGGAGGCCTCTGAGTGTGCAATTCTTCTCCTTCAGAATGTCAGGTGCTCATCATACAAGCAGTGAATTTGTGCTAGGGGCAATGTGAGAAGTCCAGAGGCTGT